CCCCAAAACCCCAAAACCCCAAAACCCCAAAACCCCAAGACTAGAGAGATATATTGCTTAACTATAATAATTAAGGAAAATGAAAATGACAAGTGGAGGGTTTCGGATGAAGAAGAGCAATATTCCAAACCTATCCAAAGTTCTATCAGGGAAATTCGTAAAAGATGGATCTGCTAACTTTTTAGGAGGTGGTAAGTGTATGCTATATACAGATTTGTCTTAAAATTTTGAGCATCTTTGATTACTAATGAATAAATTTATATTAACCTATTTGTCATCAGCGTAAGACCCTTGATTTCTCACCTACACTAAATCTAGCTTAAAGCTAGAGAGATATTGCATAATTAATCTATCATCTTTCGCCATATAGCACAAAGCAAGCTCAAAAGAGCTGTTGTGGTACTAATGATTATTTCTAAGGCTATTCTATAGTGAGCATGATCTTGAAAATTAATATTACCAGCTCTTTATTGATTCTAATGCAATGGAAAGGTCTTTTCTACTTAAATTAATAATAGCGCCTCAGTAAACATTAGTTCGGGAATTAATATTTCTCAATAATTTGATGAAATACTTCATCAAAGAGTTAAATTAGAAGCTAATTTTATCATTCAGGAAGATTGATTAGTGAATTTTTAGCCTAAGTTTATATTCCAGTTTCAGAATGATTATATCTTTTACTAGAATTTGAGAGATGCTTCTATTTCAGAATTATATTAATACATTGCCTAAAATTGAAGAAATTTCTCAAAAAACTGTTTTACACTCATAGACTCTTTCTTAGAATCAAATTAATAGTAACTCAGACTGAATAATCGATGTCTTCACAGAATTTATGCCTATAAAGTTCCATTTCCCCTTATGAAAGATTAGTCTTGAAGCTTAATCAAGTACTTTATCTCTCCAGGTACTTCTAAGATCTAAAATATTAATAAAAATTGGAGCTTTCTTTAGAAGTCCATTTCAAACAAATCTGGTCTTCTAGAATCTCGACTTTTTTACAATAGCATTATCCAAATTTATTGATGAAGAAGAGAGAGATGTTATCTCTAACTTTCATTTTCTAATGTTCTCAAATTGTATTTCGATGAACCCTTGATCCTTGAGAAAACTATTTCACTCAAAGCTGAACATTTTAAGACTCCCGCTGTCCCTTGTAGGGACAGCGGATTATGGGTACTTAGAGCTCTGTGTCAGGCTTCTAGAAATTAAGATGAGTTGTAGAACCAACTGTTTTAAAATTTATACCACTATCCAATCTTAGAACAGCTCAAAATGTGACGAAGCCAGATATGAATTTCTGTTGTCTGTAGTAGCGAGCTAGATTTACTGTAGAATTTTTCCAAGAATCAGCAATTACTGTTGTACTAAACTATCACGTTCTTCAAGATTACTACTAGCTTCTTGTCCCATTTGAACCTAAGTAACATTAATGTAGGAATATCTCCAACAAAGAGAGAGCCAAAACGAAATTACTCTAATATTTCAAGGTAAATTTGCTCTAATCTGGTAGAACTTCAAAGACGAAGGGTCAATCAAAAGTGCATACTCCAAAGATGATGAACCAGCAGAGAAACCCTGAGGGTAGAATGAAGCTGAGAGATAAGAGAATGATGAGACTTAAAATTGAGAAAAGGAAGACCAGTGATAAAAGAGTATCAAAGGATTATAGTCCAACTATTACCATTTCTAACAGAGGGCAATCTATTACTCCCATTAAGGTAACTAGCAGTCTGAGAATTCTTTCAGGAAATTATTTTTAATCATTTTTTTTTAATGAATATCTCATAAAGGCTCTTAGTCTGACTTTGAGAATTTAAGAAAATCTACTTTTAGTCAACCTTTATTAGAAAGCCTCTAAACCTTGGGAATTGTGTGTATGAATGATATAGCCAGGCAAGGCTGATGGACAGTTCTTTAGTCAAAGAAATAAAGACAAACGTATGAAATCTCCTTTCATAAGCTCAAAAAGAGGAGTTAACAAATTAAAAATGAGTAGACAAAGAGGGAGGAATCAGAATAGTACTACTATAGATCCTTCAAATGGGATTCGTTCACCATCTCCAACGATGTATAACCCGATGATTCAGATAAAGTATGAGACAAATAATTATTATCCTCCAATGCCAAATCATGGTTCAGGGTACAAACATCATGGAGGTAATACAACATTCGTTCAGAACAACAATACTAAATAATACGACTCTGATTGCTAATACTCCAAATAAGTTGTTAGAAACCCGTGCTGGAAATAAAGATAAATATGACTTCTACCCTCCTAACATCGAAAGAGTAGCCAGTCCCACAATTGATGGCAATAAAAGACTGTTGTTGCCTAAAAGTCCTGTAATGCCTACCTAAGAAGAAGAAATCCAACAGTTATGTAAACAAGAAGGATCAAGAATAAAATTCAGGAGGCTACGGTAAGACACCTCTATATATCCTAAAGCAATCTTGGTTTAGAGACATTTTATGGAGAAACAGAAGAAGGATAAGAAGAAGGACCACAATACAAAGCCACCAATGAGAACTAAGAAAGTGCCCAATGCAAAGTCAAGGACTTCTAAACTAATCATGAAATCAAAGATAAAGGACCTTAGGAAGAACAAAGCTCAAAAGTAACTTAGTAGCTCTTACCACAGACTTAACCCATTCAATGAGAGAGATGTCCCTGATAATAGCAATAATTTGCTAGATTTGGATGATAATTCAGACCTAGAAGAGTATCTGGAAGGGTCATATACTCAAAAACATGGCCATAAAACAAGACATAAAGAGTAATTCTTACCTCTCATTTCTAGAAGCAATTTTTGTGAAGATATCAAGGAAACAGAAGAAGATCCATCTCTTTTTGACACAGTAAAGACAAATTCTGAACTTATAGTCAATGATAGCTGGCACGAGGATTGACCCAAACAATGGAGCAGCAGCAGTCTCTAAATTAGGCCAGACAATAATCAGAAGTCCAAAGAATAAACTTAAAAGATTTGAAAGTAGACTACAGGAAGAGAACAAACAGTATGAGGAGTCTAAACAAGACAATGCATATCTAAATTCAGACTTGAAGCAGAAGCATAACATATTGGCTCGTAGCAAGGTACTTTTAGATCTTTTATCTGAATATGTCTCTACTCTCCTAACTGTTGTATCTAGAATGCAGATGTTAGCCCTATTATGGCAGGAGAAGGTAAGAAAAGAAAAATCAGCGTTATGGATGAGATGTTCAATACTTCTGGGATTTTCTCAAAGAGAACAATTCGCCAATATCGGAAAAAGAGCAAATTTTGGGGCCCAGATGAGTTAATCGAATTAATGGGATCAGTAGCTAAGAATAAAGATTAATGAAAGTTAAGCGCATTCATTTTTAGTCAAATATAAATAATATTCTAATCTTCTGTATTCTCTAGCTCTCCCGGGGTTTTGGGGTTTTGGGGTTTTGGGGTTTTGGGG